TATGTATCTGCAGTATTAATACCAGGATTTTATTTCGATAAGTGGAGAGCACTTGCAACGGGTATAGCTGTGTGCGGATCTGGGATAGGTACATTTGTACTTGCACCGTTAAATGCGCTTTTGGTAGAGCACTATGGTTGGCGAGTTACCATCATGGTCCAAGCAGGTATATATACTTTTTTTAAAGACAATATTTTTATGCTTTAAGTATGTTTATACTTATGTATGTTTATCATTAAAGTCATAAACTTGTTTTATAAATATTATGACGTGATAGCTATTACTTTCACGATGGATGAAATATTACAAAGTGTTAGTACTGTTAGTATAGAAGCGAGTTTAAAATTTATTTTTTTATTTCTTAGTACATGACGTCATATTCAAAACCCTTTAGTGTTTCTGCCCTCTGAGTAAAAATCCAATCTTCAATTACCTATAATCATAAAATGATTTTGTAAGTTATTAAACGACTTAAGTTTTTATATAATACAAAGAAAATTAACAAATATATGCCCTATAAAAAATACGAGAGTTCACCAGTTCGCGGGTAAAATAAATAAAAATAAACCTCAATATGATTTTATTTTTCAGGTCTCGCATTGAGTTGCGCTGCCGCTGGGATACTTTTCCGTCCATTGAAACCCACCATTGTGGAAGTGCCGACAATCAATCCAGTTGTAATGGAACCCAAGTTACCCGAAGACGAGCCACTGTTAACGAARAACCTCACTGCCGAGAGAAAGATGTCGCTGGACAGCAAACACAACGCCGTCAAAACCGGAGCTCCGACGGCCGAAGAAATTTACAACCACCTGTCAGGTCGCCTGACACCAGAACCTCGGCCCACAAGCATATCATGTCATTCGCTCAACACCCACAATCAGTACCTGAAGAATAAATTGTCAACCGACTTACCGGAAAAGAAATTATCTGCCGTCAGTTTGAGGAGGCCGTCCGTATCCGCGCATTTAATGGATAGGGACGACCGATTTTTCGGGGGAAGTCTGTCCAGACTGCCGCAGTATTCGTCGCAGGTATGTTTTTTTTCGAGAGGTCCCAAACAATTTCAGGTTAATATATAGGTGATTGTCGTAAAAAAAAAATTAGACAATTATACACGCTACGCCCCCGCCGTAGGGTAGACTTATTTATTTCTTGCAGGCATTCTTTTAGGTGAGCTCGTTGAACTACGCAATGTCGGTGACGAGAATACCAGCCTGGAACGATGCCGAGGAGCGGGATGACGAGGAGCCTTGTTCGAAGAATAATTCGTTCCGAAGAAACATGAAGAAGTATTACAAATCGGCTATGCACACGCTCACGACGATGTTGGACTTTTCTATTCTRTCCTCTCCGTCCTTTTGCGTGTTGACGTGCAGTGGTTTTTTGACGCTGTTGGGATTCTTTGTACCATTCGTGTACATTAGTGGTAACTACGAGTCATGTTTTATTATGTTTACACCGCAAGCCTACCTATAAATACAAATACATAAGATGTACCGTCAGTTACAATTACAAGATATATATATAT